AATCCTATCAGTACATCAGAGAGGAGGAAGTTGCGGACTTGGTTAATAAGATTCGTCGAGCATGTGTTGATCAAACAAATGGGACTTCTGAAAAAGCCTTGCCGTAGGGTCTTCAAAGAAACCAAAATTAAACTAAAATGTAGAACTGAAGTCGAACCTAGGTCGATTCACAATAAAGCCTTTTTATGTCTTAATTTCTAACCAATCCACTGTTATCAAATTAACAAATTAAAGATGCAAGTAAATGAACATTTTTTTATTTTATTTCTGATTTTGCAAAAGCAGAATGTAAATGTTTATATTTTCCAGTTTATCTAAGTGAAATAGTGTGAGGTGAAAAAATGATAGAATATCAAATGTGAAAGAGTGTTCTCTTAGAATTGTGCTCTGCCTTCCTAGTCCTCTTATGAATGCAGGAGTTCAACAAACGAAGCAAGACTTGACCAGCAACTCGCTGGTTCCTCATTGTTGAGACTACAACTCATATGAATCAACAACAAGGCTAAAATCATTAGGTTTAGGAAAAATAAAATATTAGGCGATCTCCCTGTGACAATCACAACTGTGTATTGTCTTGAAAATCTGTTGAATTGGTTATGAGAACTGAAACAACTCGTTCAGAATCCCCAATGTAATACAACTAAGAAATCAGAAGGAACAATCTCAACTCAATCTTGCAAATGAAATATCATTCTACCAATCATAAACAGATTCAACAACTCCAGTAAAAATGTAAATCAAAATCAAATCCTGAACTACAACATGAAATGAACAACTCGCTCAATCAAGCTATAGATTCAGACTAAAGCTAAGAATGGAGAAGAAACTCCCTTCAGTCAAATCAGAGACTCAGGCTCGGCTTCACTTCTAGGAAGAACACGAACGCTTAGCTGCTCATGCTTCGGCTCTGTACTGCATCGTCAAGGACTACGCTAGCCATGGCAGAGGTGATACAGATCGGATGGAAGAGAATGAGAGAGGATAGGAAGTGGTGAAGCGAAGTGAGTACTGGAAGGAATCGCTGATGATCAGATCGAGTGTGGGAGAGTATGGAAGACGGCCCGAATGAATCTTGTGTGGGGATCTCTCTTAATCGAATCTGAGGTAATGAATATACAGTAAGACGACGATGAGCTGTCTCCCCAAATTTCTTCCAACGGTGCCTAACAGAATTTACCGTCTCCCTCTTATTCCTTTTTGGGCTGGGCCTGATAAAACAAATAAACGAAGCAACTGATGTAAAGCCCAAGAAGGTGATAAAAAATCAACAATTAATTCCTAATTTGGTCAATTGTAATATTTATTTCTTTCCCACAAAACAATTAATTTTTAACCTCAAAGATGCTGTTGATCTTGCAATTTAGGCAAAGAATTCACTGCATAAAAAGAGCTTATCAACTTCCTTGAACAAGTCTCAGATGATTATTGCAACTGCAAACAACATTGTGAGCAGATGTCTTTTTGGACAGAAGTTTGAGTCAGCAGATGGTAAAAGCAGCTTTGGAGACTTGGCAAGGAAAGTGATGGCTCAAATCACTGCAAAATGGGTTTTATATTTAAGACTAGAGGAGTACATATGAAATAAATCTCCAACGCTAGTTTACACCACAGCATATGCCTGTGTTTCATTTTCACAACTGTATCAGGATTTGTTCGTGGGAGGAAATCATACGACTTCGACAGCTCTGGAATGGGCTTTTGCGGAGCTCATGAGGAATCCAAGAACAATGAAGAAAGCGCAGGAAGAGGTGAGAAGAGTGATGGGGAATAAGTCAAAGGTGGAAGAACATGATGTGAAACAAATGAAGCACTTGGAATGTGTAGTCAAAGAAACTCTAAGATTACATCCTCCTGCTGCACTTTTGGTTCCAAGGGAGACAAGTTCGGGTGTGACTTTGGGAGGGTACTATATTCCTCCAAAAACAACTGTATTTCTGAATTCATGGGGAATTCAGAGAGATCCTGAATTCTGGGAAAGACCAGACGAGTCTGTACCAGAGAGATTTGAAAACAGCCAAGTTCATTTCAGAGGACAAGACTTTGAATTTATTCCTTTTGGTGTTGGAAGGAGGGGATGCCCAGGAATTTCATTTGGACTTGCATCACTTGAATACATGTTAGCTAATCTTTTGTATTGGTTCGATTGGAAGCTTCCTGAATCAGGCAGATCTGCCCAAGACATAGACATGAGTGAGAAATTTGGGCTTACGGTCCTCAAGAAACTACCAGTTTGTGTCCAGCCAATGCCTTACCGTACCTGATGGCATCTTACTATCTTAGTTTTGATAGCCATGCTTACGATGATAATCGTGTTGCAAGTTCGTGGTTTCAAGTTATTATGGCAGTTTATTTTGAATAAATATTGTTGCTAATTAAGTTTCAGTGTTTGGGTTCTACCTCTCCATTATTAGGGATGTTTAATTTGGTTCATGCTTGAATTGTATGCAGAGAATATTTTGGATGCCTTTGATATAATACTTGTACGTACTAGGACTGTTCACGGGACGGATTGGGATAGGCCTGTTCTGGTTCCCTCCCGGTGAACAGTAACGGGACAGATTTTCTGTCCCGTGTCCCGGCCCGTCTCGGTCAAGACGGGACGGATCTGGGACGTCCCGAAAATTTTTTTTTTAAAATTTTTTTAAAAAATCTAATTTTTTAATTATATTTTTTTGAGTTTAAATCTTATAAAAACATCTTTTTATTTTCTTTTTTATTTGTTTGGGCACTCTTAAACAAAAGCTCAAAATATTACATATAATAATCATTAAAAACTCTAAACAAAAGCTTTTAACATAATAAAAACTTGCTAAAACTTCTAATCATCAATAATCTCAAATCATTAACAAATATAAAAACTCTAAATAAAGATATCCATAGTTCCATACAATAGTTTCAAATCTTAAAAAAAAATGATATTATATAAATAGGATTAAAAAATTAAAAAAAAAAGAACCGGGACTGGACGACTCCATCCCGTGTCCTGTCCCGAAAAATTTCGGGACGGATCCGTCCTGTCCCAATAAGATCGGGACCGGAACGGGCCGACCGGGACGAGTCGGCCTTGAACACCCCTAGTATGTACAAGGACTGCAATGTTGTGCAATAACATGTTGTAGTTATTAAATGTTAAAATCTCAGCGATTGAGATTTCAATTTTTATAAACTATTTATCAAAAAATTTTAAAAACATTTAGTGTATTTGCAAACTATTAGAATTAAATTTTAATAGAGTTTATACTTTATAATTTAGTAATTTTTATAATAGTTTTAAAAAGATTTAATCTTAATTATTAAAATATTAATCTAATAGTTAGGAAAAAAAGAAAAAGAAAAGAGGACGGAAAAGGAAGAGAGGTTTCCAACCGGTGTTCGGAACACCTAAAAGGTATTTTTAAAAATTTATCTTTTTACAAATCGAGACAAACTCTTTCCTATATTTACTTTTTATACTGTAAAATTACTTTTAAAATTATAATTTGGTTTCTGTTCAAACACTCTCTAATTTAAATTCATAAATATAAGATAAAATAAAAATCACTTCTATCACCATTAATCTAATCATATAGCTCGCGGGTTACATGTCTTGAGTTTTAAATAATATATGTAACATTTTTTTATTGCAAGCCTGATTCAGCTCCTCCCTCCACTTGATTCGTGCGGGCCCCAGTTCTTATTTATTCTTTCTTCCCCGTGTTTTAAATCAGATGCGCGTGCGTGCATTCTTTTTTTTTTTTTTTTTTTAAGCATGATTTGATCCTTCTTCATCTACATATTTTTAATTATTTGATATTTTCTTCTTTCTCAAATCTCATCGTGTTTACTGCAAAATAAAAAACTATGAGTAGATAAAAAAAATATGGTAGATTTATAACATTCTTGTTATCCTATAATTAGTTGTAAAGAGGAAAATATACAAAAGATAATTAAATATGTATAAAATATTCATAAATTTTATTAAATACTACCTCCAGTTCTTAATATAAGAGTTTGTTTGACTTTTATTTTGGTGTTAGTTATAAGACTCTAATCTACTTTGTTTCTTATATTTATCTATTTTTTTAAAGTAGTCTTTATAATAATGGTAGTTCTAGCTAATATACTTCATTAGCAAAGATATTTTAGAAAAGATAACACCTATTTATTATAAATAACAAACTTAATTAGTTTTTATAATTTTTTCTAATTAGTCAACTAGCTCGAAGGTAGTATATCTCAAAATTTACACCTATCTAACTATAAAATACTACCTGCAATTTTAAATAGTGCAATCTAAGATATTTATAGATTGGAAGCAATTTACTAAATAACACTGGGGGAAGTATATGCTACTTCTTCATTCATGTCTTCACGATATAGTTTAAAATATAAGTCTAGTTTGATAACATTTAGAACATTTAATATTTGTTTTCCTATTTTACCCTTCTATAGAATTAATCTTTACAAGTAATTAATATAGTATTAATTTGGTTAAAATACACATTTTGTTCTTTAATTTTATATAAGATTTTAGTTTGATCCGAAGTGCATTTTTAGTACTTTAATCTTTAATACTGTTAACCTCTCATTAATAAAAAAAATGCTAACTCCGTAAATTTAAATAATGACTTTGTAATTAAGAAGTTGCAAAGTATATTGATTATGTGTCGTGCGTACATCTTTTCCTTTGTAATTATTGTTAAAGTAACCATGTGAAAATTGAAAATAAGCATGTGAGCATCCAAAGTAACCATGTGAAAATTGAAAAATAGACCCATCACGTGAAAAATATTTAAACCACATTCGATAATGTCACGATGAATAGTGCAATTATTTTTATTGTCTGGAAACAAAATAATATAAAATACAGAAGCCGTACTATCTCAGCTCTCCAGCTATGGCTATATATAGACCTCTCCATCCATGCTTGCTTCTATAAGCCTTCCCCTTCATTTACCCAAGAAGAAAAAAGAAAAAGCCTTTCCCTTCATTACAACTGCATGGAAGCAACAACAAGAACGATGCTCCCGGTGGTTCTCATACTCAAACACTTGCCGTTGGAGCTAAACCCAACCTTGTACGTCTCCCTCTTCTGCTTCATCATCCTCATCTTCTTTGTGCTTATCAAACTCCAAAGAACCTCAGGAAATGAGCCGAATCTTCCTCCATCCCCACCAAAATTGCCATTTATAGGCAATCTTCATCAGTTTGGCTCTCTGCCTCACCGTTCTCTCACAGCTCTCTCCCACAAGTATGGCCCTCTCATGTTTCTCCGATTAGGTCAGACTCCAACTCTGGTGGTTTCTTCCGCACACTTGGCCAGAGAAATAGCAAAGTTCCACGACGTCGTTTTCTCCGATAGGCCTCAATCCGCAGCTGCAAAAATACTATTCTATGGGGGCACAGATGTGGGCTTTTTACCCTATGGTGAGGAGTGGAGGCTCAAGAAGAAAATCTGTGTTCATGAATTTCTCACCCCTAAAAAGGTTCAGTCCTTTCAGTACATCAGAGAGGAGGAGGTTGCAGATTTGGTTAACAAGATCCGTAAAGCATGTGCTGATCATCAGCATGATGATAGGTTGTCCGTGAATATGTCTGAGATGATTATTGCAACTTCACACAAAATAGTGAGCAGATGCCTTCTTGGGCAGAATTTTGAGACAGCAGATGGTAAAAGCAGGTTTGAAGACTTAGCAAGGAAAGTGATGACCCACATCACAACTTTCAGTTTTGGAAACTTCTTCCCCTCGTTGGGATGGATGGATGTTGTTACTGGATTAATTCCGAAGGTGAATGCTACTTTTAGAGAAGTAGACGCTTTCTTAGATGATGTGCTTGCTCAGCACAAGGCAGCGAAAAGGAACGAGGATGATGATCATAACTCAGAAAAGAAAGACTTCGTTGATCATCTCCACGAACTTCAACAACATGATTTGCTAGGCTCCGAGCTTACCCAATCTGACCATAAAGCCATGCTAATTGTATCTCTCCTTTCCCCTAAATTGAATTCTCTATGTTCATGTTACACACACACACAAATTAAATCTCTCGTGCTAGTTTGCAGCATAGCATAAACATGTTTCATTTTTACAATTGGATCAGGATTTGTTCCTTGGAGGAAGTGACACTACTACAGCAGCTTTGGAGTGGGCTTTTACCGAGCTCATGAGGAATCCAAGAGTAATGAAGAAAGCGCAGGAAGAGGTGAGAAGAGTGGTGGGGAATAAGTCAAAAGTGGAAGAAAATGATATGAAGCAAATGAAGTACTTGGATTGTGTAGCGAAAGAAACGCTAAGATTACATCCGTCTTTTGCTCTTTCGGTCCCGAGAGAAACAACATCGGGTGTGACTTTGGGAGGGTATTATATTCCTCCAAAAACAACTGTATTCGTGAACTTATGGGGAATTCAGAGGGATCCTGAATTTTGGGAAAGACCAGAAGAATTCATGCCAGAGAGATTTGAAAACAGCCAATATGAGTTCAAAGGTCAAGACTTTGAATTTGCTCCTTTTGGTATAGGAAGGAGGGGATGCCCAGGAGCTTCATTTGGGATTGCATCACTTGAGTATGTGTTGGCTAATCTTCTGTGTTGGTTTGATTGGAAGCTTCCTGAATCTGGTAAATCTGCCCAAGACGTAGACATGAGTGAGACATTCATGCTTACCGTCGTTAAGAAACTACCAATCTATGTCCAACCAAAGCCGTATCTGATAGCATCCTAGCTAGTTTTAATTTGACGGCCACTAGCAAGCTCATGAATTGTGTTTCAAGTTCGAGGTTTCGCTTTATCATGGAAGTTTATTTTGAATAAAATCTGCCGCTACGTACGTTTCTGTATTAGAATTCTACTTTTCGACTACTAGGGAGTAGGGATGCTTAATTTGGTTTATATATATGCTTGTGCTTGAACTTTGGTGAACACTGGATGTTGTACACTGCATTGTTGTGAAATATATTTATTTAGTGTTAAAGTTACTTTATGTTTTTCTTAAAATATCTGAAGCCTTTATTTTATTTCAAATTAATTGAAACTTTATAATTTCCATAATGAAGCACCTATTATTTTTAAATCATTTTGGGCTTCACTGAAAATTAAGTCCCATATATGGGACTTCATTAAAATTCTTCACATATATTATCAATGATTAAGCCTCTATTTTGTAACGCTTAAAATAAGCATTTTATGTTTTATAGGACAAAATTTTTCTGGCATACGATATCTCACAAAATAATTTAGAATAAACTAATCCAAATAAGCACAAGGATTTATATATGCCAATTCACCAACATGTTTGATTAGCCTTTGATTAACTTAATGGAGGAAGAATAATCTTTAAAGAAGAACCACTGTTTTTTTTGTGAATAGTGGATGCATTAATTACTTCTACATCATCAAATTCAATTTTTTTTTAAAAATCAAAGACGCAAGTACTAACAGTTTAAATGAACTCAAATCACAACCCTTCAGATCACTTATAAAACTTCCATGTTAATGAATTATAAAGCAATTCGCGCACCATATTCAATCATGGGAGAATTTTTCCACGCTCCCTCTGCAGCTACTTATTTTCCATTTGCCCTCAGAAAATTCTGAAGTTTCACTACATTTTAAAGACAAAAATGATATAAAATTTTATGGATGAAAAGACATTTCTATCTTTATTTTTTTAACAAAAATCTTCAACTATCGCCGGACACCAGAACTTGAGCACAAAGATGACGATGATAAAGCACAACAAAGGAATACTCCAGTAGTTTTTCTGCCTTCCCTTTTTTGGCCAAACAGTAGTTTTTCTACTACTCCCTCCTTTTATCATTTTGGAACTGAGCATGCCTAGAAAGGTAATAAAATGTAATAAATAATGATATTTTACTAATTAAAATGCCATCATTTAGAAAATAAATGTTTCTTATTTATTGAAAAAGTAAAATTATCAAGTAAATAAAGCTTAATTTTATATACGCCTATGAACTTTGGATCATGTACAGACAAATAACCTGTCTTTAAAATATTTTTCTATTGACACTTAATATCACAATAATTTTGGTGCCTCTAACACCTTAAAATATATTTTTTAAAACATTTAATATCTTAAAATAATTTTTAATTCATTTATTATTTTAAAAGTATTTTTCAAATAGCATTCTATCTTAATGGTGTTTATTGCTACTGAGAAAATACTTTAAAGGCAAAATTATATCAAAAATTACTTTACAACGTTGAGTAGTATTGAAAAAGTACTTTAAAATGTTGAATGGAATAAACATTATTCTAGAAGATTGAGTTTAATTGAAAAAATATTTTAAAGTATTAAATGCCAATACCAAAAAAAAAACATTAAAAGGTGCATAAAGATTAAATAATACTAATAAAAGAAAAAGTAACATTTCAAGTGCAATAATCGGAGGTCTTTTCAAAAATAGAGGGGCATTTTTATTTCCACAAGAAGAGTTAACAAAAACTTACCTACCACAAGTAGAAAAAGAAATTGTAGAGTAAATTATGCAAAACGTTTTTGGTTTCAATCTCATTTAGATTTTATAGATTCCTTGATTAATCTATAAAATCTACCAGCACAGTGTCATTTGTTTTTTTTAATCTTTTCGTTTGAATTTCATTAAGATTTCAGAGATTTCTTAATTAATCTGTCAAATCTACATGTGAAGAGATTTCTTAATTAAGCTGTCAAATCTACATGCTAATCATGCGTGTCCTTTGTGGCAAGTGGGCCATTTTTAAAAATTGTTAAGGAGAATCATGGGCCAGGGCTTTTGTCGTTGCCTCCTACACTCACCTAATGCCCAAGAATGCTTTACACATTCCTAAATTAATAATTGAAGGCAAAATTTCACTCTGCTGCTTATTTTACATTTGCCCTATATTTCATCTGCCATATCCAGTGGGATCTAAGTTTTGATCGGCTCGGTTTATGAAATGTCTGTTAAATATATGGTTTCAATTTATTTTGCTGCTTTTGTTTAAAGTAACTGTTGTTTGCTGATAAGTTATTTGTCTGTTTTCATTTTGCCAACAGGGGATGCTCTGTTTAATCTTCAATTGTGGGTGTTGATGTCCTTGTTCAGGGACTAGGTTGTTTAGAAAATAAGGTTGTGCTATCATCGGTCCTAATCATAAGAGTTAGTTAACTAATTTGAGGAGATTAAGAAAAGAGCTAGTTATTTGTAATAAATAGGTGTTGTCTTTCTAAAAATATCCTTGTTAATCAAGTAAATTAGCTAGAACTACCATTGTTAGAAGGATTATCTTGAGAAAAATGTATAAATATGAGAAACAAAGTGGACTGCGGTCTTATATTTAGAACCAAAATAAAGTTAAATAAGGTCTTATATTAAGGACCGGAAGTAGTATTTTCTATTAACGTTAAGTAAACTAACGGTTATCCCTGGAAAAGTAATCAAAGATAAACTTAGCATGAAGTTCATTTATAAAATATTGTTCTAACAATCATATTGTATTATTAGATGGTAGGATTGTTTGAATTGAAGATTGATGGCTATTCAGATACAGAATCTAAGCACTCCTCCAAAAATCAAAATCAGTGTGCATAAGGAGTATATATTTCTCTTCAGGTTGTCCTCTCCAGCTCCCTTCAGTTGTATGTTTTAAAAAACACCACCAACCTCATTTTCTTTTGGATCTCATCATATGAAATGTTTACTCTTTTGGAGATTTGGAAGAAACAAGGATCTCAGTATGGCTGAAAAGGTGATTTGTAAGCATCAATAGCAGATGAGCACATGCTTATATATAACATCGGTCAATCCATTTCATGATCACACTTCATCAGATATGGAGATCTAGGAATGAAATGGTTCATAACGACAGATTCATAGATCCAATAACCCTAGTTTCAAGAATTTGAAGAATTGTTGCTGTGATTGGGGAAGTGTATGTTTAAAAATTTGCAGAAGAAAAAAAAGATATATACTACCTCTAATCCTTAATATAAGAGTTAGTTGAGAGTTATATTTGGTTTCAAATATAAGATCTTAATTAACATTATCTACCCAATCTATAATGTTTTATCTAAAATATTCCTATTGATTGTAAAGGTTCTTACCAAAGAATAGTTGCAATGCATATTATTAAAGAGAGTAGTTTAGGAAAATCAATACATATTTATTACAATTAATCAATTTAACTAATTTATTTAATTTTCTAAATTAACTGTGTAGCTCTTATATTGACTAGAAAGAATATTATTAGCAAATGCACAACAGATGTAATGTTCAAAATAGCTGAGAGGTCCGCATAGCCCTCAATATGGGGAGGAAATCACATTAATGGACAAATGCAAATGACACAAAAGTAGGTAAGCCAAAAAGGGCCGCAGAGTAGATCCACATAGAAGTAAATAGGGAAAATTACCGTGCAGTTTCATATAAACAATTAATCACTAAAAAGGCCCCACAACAGGTGAGTAGCATGGCAATAACAAGATCTTATCCAAGAAATGACAGCAAGTCATGGCATATAGACAACTCAAGAGACCACTTTTCTCCTTATTATTGCGCAACATCATCGTCCGATTCTCATTCTCTGGACACTGGCTCCTTCTTGCTTCATCAGACGTGAGTGCTTGACTTGGGCTTCCTCTTTTACTCCCAAGTAGGCCCCATTCCTTTGGACTCATTTCAGGAAGGGCCCTCAGACATGCCGGACAGACGAAATGGCAGGTTATATAATTGGGATTGTAATTTCATGAGGCCAAATTTATTTCAGTTGCTACCTGACAAGCTCTGGATTCATAATCTAGAAAGCAATACTTCGATGGCAAGTATAATTTTTTTTAAAAAATTTTAATTGTTCTTTCAATTTGTGCTGGATTAGAATCCCATCTTACTTTTTCATATATTCATCTTTCAAACTACCGATTTGATTCTTGACCCTTCTCTTTATGAAACTAATCAGTGCTTCCATCCCCTTTGATTGACCATGCTTGCCTTGATTTCCTGTGATTGATTGCTAATTCTTGCCAAAAGCTCATTCTGTTTCTGTATCTCTTTCTTTTGGCCCTAGAAATTTGTGTTGCTCTGTAAATGAATCATCTGTTTGTTCCGTTTGCAAAAGCCCCATATCTTCCACATATATTGAATTAGGTACATTGAGAAAAATTACCCTAAAATTCATCATGAGGTTTACACAAGTGAAAGTTCGAAGGATGAGGTTGATTTCCATCTAGGTGGAGAGTTGTGTGGCTTCGTCCACGTGAAGACTGAAGAGAAACGAACACATAAAGGTTTGTGAGTCCCACTTAATTAACTTCATTTTAAATAAGACTTGCAAACCTTAAATATATGTGTGTATGTACAGATGCTTCTCTTCACATGGAGATACCAGTACATCTCTCCATATTGGGGAAAATTTATATCCAAATTTGAAAATAGAATTTTGTTATGATTAGGAGAAGCTTATTCTCAATAAACAAACACAAACACAAACTGATCCTTGTCATACTTCAATTTTATATGCACTGAGGCACATGGAACAACTTGCACAACACAACAGAGTAAATGGACAATGAGCCGCCTCCGATGATGATGATGATGATGATTATAAGCAATTGTATAATTATTAATAATAGTAAATTGGTTCTTCCCCGCATTATATGGCTTTTACTTCATAACGAATTCCATTGTAAGATACTGAATAGGAATATGCTGATTCCACCCCAATTGTAAACGCAAGTTGCCAGGATTCATCTTTTGTCGCCATTCATTTCACGTATCTAGTTTCTATAGTAATAGATATAATATCCTTCTAGTAAATTTTTTTTTTAAAAGCTACAATATAAAATAATGGGTTAATAAAGACATGGAAGCTAATTATTCAAGCTCTTGTGAAAAATCATTACGTATTTGTTCTGTTTCTGAAGCAGGTTTCTTTCACTTTCATGCAGTGATAAAATAATAGAAAAATCATGCTTACTTATTTTATCTATGGAAAACCTCTGGTATCATCACGGTCATGGACGGAACAAGAAGAATGCTTCCGCAGTCAATTCTGGAAAACTTCCCCTTTGAGTTAAACCCAACCTTGTACTTGTCTCTCTCTCTGTTCATAATCCCCATCCTTGTGCTGAAGCTGACAAGAACAAGAAGAAACAAATTGAATCTGCCTCCATCCCCCCCTGGGTTTCCATTCATAGGCAATCTTCATCAGATTGGGACTCTGCCTCATCGTTCTCTCAAAGCTCTCTCACAAAAGTATGGCCCTCTCATGTTTCTCCACTTGGGTCAAAAGCCAACTCTTGTGGTTTCTTCTGCACACATGGCCAGAGAAATAACTAAATCCCACGATGTTGTTTTCTCAGATAGGCCTCAAACCACAGCTGCAAAAATCATTCTCTACGGATGCAAGGATCTGGGTTTCTTGCCCTACGGTGAAGAATGGAGGCTTAAGAGGAAAATATGCGTTCTTGAACTTCTCAGCCCAAAAAGGGTTCAATTCTTTCAGTTCGTCGTAAGGGAGGAAGTTGCAGATATGATCAGTAAGATTCGTGAAGCATGCGCAGATGGTGATAACAAAGGGTCTTGTGTGAATATGTCTGATATGATTGTTGCAGCTGCAAACAATATAGTTTGCAAATGTCTTCTTGGACAGAAGTTTCAGTCAGCAGATGGGAAGAGAAGCTTTGGAGACTTGGCAGCACAGATTAGTGCTCACACTATAGCTTTCAGTTTTGGAGACTTCTTCCCTTCATTGAGATGGATGGATGCTGTTACTGGATTAATTTCAAGGATGAACGCCACATTTAGAGAAGTTGATGCTTTCTTCGATGAGGTGATTGATCAACACAAGGCAGCTAGAAGAAATGAAGATGAGGATGGCAAATCAGAAAAGAAAGACTTCGTTGATATTCTTCAGCAACTTCAACAAGATGGTCAACTTGACTTTGAGCTTACCCAATTTGACCTCAAAGCAACGATAGTGGTAGCTACCCCTCTCTCTCTCTCTCTGAATGGAGTCCTCCGCATTCATACAATCTCAGAAAGTCTAGTTTGCATCAGTTCAATTGTTCAAAGTTGTTTCATTCTGACAATTGCAGGATTTGTTCCTGGGAGGAAGTGACCCTACGGCGACAGCTCTGGAATGGGCATTTGCAGAGCTGGTGAAGAATCCAAGAATTATGATGAAAGCTCAAGAAGAGGTAAGAAGAGTGGTCGGAAATAAGCCAAAAGTGGAAGACAGTGATGTGGGACAAATGAAGTACTTGGAATGTGTACTGAAAGAAACTTTAAGATTGCATCCTCCTGTTCCTCTTTTGATTCCAAGGGCCACAAGATCGAGTGTGACACTGGGAGGATACCATATTCCTGCAAAAACAAGTGTGTTTGTGAATGCATGGGCAATTCAGAGAGACCCAGAATTCTGGGAAAGACCAGAAGAGTTTGCTCCAGAGAGATTTGAGAATGATCAAGTTGATTTCAGAGGGCAAGACTTTCAGTTTATTCCATTTGGAAGTGGAAGAAGGGGATGCCCAGGAGTTTCATTTGGATTTGCATCACTGGAGTATTTGTTAGCTAATCTTCTGTATTGGTTTGACTGGAAGCTGCCTGAAACATGTAAATCTGCTGGAGACATGGATATGAGTGAGGCATATGGAATTACTTGCAGAAAGAAAGTACCAATTTGTGTGCAACCAATGCTGTACTCCATTAGATCTAAGTTTTGAAGGTCCAGTTTTTGTTTTTCTTTCAAGCTCGTGGTTTAAATTAACATTTTAAATAAATTAAAAAATGCTTGTAATTTGTGTCTGTACTCATGTTATCGAGTAGGTATGCTCTGCGTTGGCCAAAAAAAAACAAGGAAGAAAGTAGGTATGCTTTGTTTTGTTGAAGCTTGAATGTTGGAGTACATGTTTAAGGACTATACAGTTGCGATTGTCAAAGACATTTTCCACAGGGGGAATGGTAGGTTCCGCTTAATCATGTTTACAAAGATTATAACACTGCAGTCCACAGCTGATTATCTAAATAACATGTCTCGTAGTCTTAATAGCAATTATTGTCAACCTCCACCTTTTGTCAAGAGCCTAAAGGGGATGACAAATATTTGGTTCTAGTAAGATATCTTACATGTTGTAATCCCTTATCGATGGTCTATTTGAATGGATGGTAACAAAAGTAATTTATTTAATGTGATTTATGTTTGGATTAACTTTTGTAAATAAGTTAGTTTGTGAAAGTAAACTGTTTGGATTATGATTGACTAAATAATTTTATTTTGTAAAATATGAAAGTAAGGTGTTTGGATTATGATTAAATAAGTAATTTTAATTTGTAAAATCACCAGAATGAGTGTAAATTTTATTAAATAAGGAAAAATAAAGAAATATCAATTTACATAATATAATAATTTTAAATTATTTATAAGCTCCTGTATATCTTATTTATAAGTTCCAAATTTGAAGGGGTGTGATCCATTTTATTAATTTCAATTTGAATTTATAAGCTCCTGCTAATATCATATATTTTCTTTTATCTTTTTTATCATTCATTATAAGAACATATTTGAAAATAAACATATATTTCTAACTTATTTATTATTTTCAACTAATTTTAACTAATTTTTTGTTCTCTTCAAATTCGTTATTTAAGACTTATAATAAAAACCAAAATAGTAAATTTTTAAAATTTTTCTCGATTTATGTTTCAAAAGCCAAAACCATGTTTGTCATAGCTTTTTCATGCAAAAGTCAGGTTGCTTCACGGCCAATCCAAACTCTATAATTTTATGCATAGCACGTTTTATCATACCATCGCACATTTATGATGTCTAGACGCTGTTACAAACAAACTCTAAATCAATGGATTCCATAATTTTACTCCAAAAGACATTCAGTTTTTGGTTTAAAAAAAAAAGAAGTTATTTTTTTAATAATTTAAAGACATTATGCTATAAAGTAATTTATTTTATAGAGATTCTTAAAAAAAATTATTTTAGTTACCATTTTTGAAAAATGACAATTTAGTAGTTTTTATGATATTTTCACACTTCTCCATTTAAAAAAACTTGTTTATTGGTTATTTATTTTTAAATGTTATGATATATTCTTATATCCCCTTACTTCTCCAATATTATTTTTCAAATATCCCACCCGATTATTTTCAGATGCTACTCAAAAAAGCTTCTCAAAATAATTTAAACAAAATCTTCATTTTCATATATTTTTATTATTTTCAATAGTTTTAAAAAACATTGTAAAATTTTAGATAAGTGATATTTTCATGAAAATAGTTTACAACAAATGGGTCCATAATCATGTTAGGGCAGAAGCAGAGGCGTTTTAAGTGACTCTTGAGCATCATCTGTTCTTATTTCTCTATACCGCAAGCAGAGCTGTTCAGGTTTCGGGATCATACTCTTCCTCTATGAAGGAACTTTTACTCTCACTCAGTTTTCCTCTCCCATTGTGTCCCTTTATCTTCAGCTGAGAATTCAAACTATTATTGCTCATGATGTTAGAAAAAAAAATTCTGAAAACAGGGTTACAATGCTGGACAGGGCTATAATAAAAAATGTATAATAAAACCAAAATAGACTTCCTAAAACTAGAGAAATAATTAAAGAGTGCCGGAGAATATACGTGTGGCCATATTTCAACGCGATAACTTGGTACTCTTCCTGGATTCTGGAATCATCAATCAAGTGTATGTGTATCCTTGTGTCAAAATTGTGAGGAAACGTCTAAAGGCTTGCCTCGTGAAGTTGTACTGATGCGCACTCCTGCTAGGCGCTAGCCATGTCCCCATATTAATTGGGCCTTCCACGTGCTCCTATGGCATATGAAACATTATCCTTGAGCAGCAGAGCACGTACAGTAACTCAGACGCAGCAAAATTTTTAGCCCTCTGCAGTTTAATCAGCATGAAGATGGTGCCTCCTCCTTTGGCAGCGAGTAACATACCAGGCAGCGTGTTTCTGTAGGCCCATGCCAAGTAGAACCTTGAGGCTTGCCAGCATAACATAGGTCACTGCTGAAAAGAGAACGACCCAGAAAAGACTCCACGGAAGAGGATAGTACGGAAAGTGAGCAGCATACACAGGAGTCAACACTCGAATGACCTGAGAATAAGTAATACAGATATGGAATCAGTAGCAAAAAAGGCAAAAAGAAAAATGAAATTTTTAAATCACCAGTGCTCACCACACAAGCAGGAGCAAGAGGAACAAAAGTCAGATGTTTCTTCACACCCTCCGTTTGCATATTTAGAGTCTAGAAAATTGAAACAGCAGAAATATATATATTCGTAAGAAGTGTTATAGCAATGTCACAATAAATAAATAAATCATCTTAAACCTTCAAAGTTGTTAATCACTCTATATATTTATTAAAAAAATAATAATAATATAATAACTCGGAACGCATTAACAATGGGCTTTCCAAAGTGAGTATTGATCTCTTGCTATCTGATACTCTCAATGCCCACATGCACATTATGCCGGGAACCAGGACCATGCACATTATGCCGAAAACAGCAAATTGCATAGGCAGATAAATTAGATAAATAGTAAGAAATCTCAGAGAACTAATAAATTCCGAAGGAAGACCCAGTTTAAGTGATATAAAGGAATTGAACCATATTTGCTGTTTTCCCTGGTTCAAAACGATGCTATCCAAATACGAAATAGATGGAAAACAAAGTTTCATTTGATCCCCTTCCAAGCACAACTCATTGAAGCAAATGTCTTCAAAAACGCATTTATCTTTAAATCATGTGTTTCGATATATTTTAGCGTGATGCTAATGAATCCAATCAAGTTTTCAGCTCTGAACATTCACTTGTATAAATATACAGCAATTATCGCTGACGTGATTCCAAGATGCTGTTTATATGGTTTTTAAGCAATAATCAACCAATCGTAAACCGTGTGGCTGGTGCCCACAAGGAAGCAGATGAAAAATACCTGTTTGCAAAGGTCTTCAAGGAATTCAGAGTATGCGATGGGTTTAATGTCATTAAATTTGGCGATGAATGAGTGCTTGATAACATCAATAGCTATTTCACATGAATAAACCAAGCCAACATCCTGCACCATCCAAAATATCCATATCAGAAGCAAAGCTGGGTCAAGCGAGGAAATTGGTTCCAACAAAATAAATTGCTTCAATAAATACTTGGTGCTAAAATTTTCTGAGTAATCTTACAAGGAGAAAACTCTTAAACCAGGGGCCCTCTGCTTCCAGAATATTTTGAGCCAGAACGAATAAGATAAATGCTGAAATATGGAATCTCTCAACAGAATCTGCTTGCCAGATATGAGTATAGAAAGAAGGAAAGAGAGAACAGGAGGAAAAAAATATCAGACCAAGAAGTTTGGGGTGCAAAAAGAGCAAGAGTAATAAAAACATCATATGCAGAACAGCAATCATATCAACCTCTTCTTTAAAGATTACTTAGCGCATTAAATTAAATAGTTAAAGGTAGATTTCCTAGCAAGCAAGACAGCGCAGAAGAATTAACAGCAAATATTAATTATGACTATACCTGATAAGCCATGTTTAATTGAAAATTTAAACTTAAGGGAAAAGGTTTTCTCCTGATCCTAGTCATGGGACAAATGAGTATGGGCGAAAAGGTGAGACAGGTCAGCCACATAATCTATATCAAAACTGAATATCAGCCAAGTTTAAAATTCAAGATATCAAATAAATATTTATTTGGTTGACATAATTATAAGAAAGGCACATAATCCTATCAAAACAAGCATATATTCATGCTGAGAACAAGTGTCATGGAAAATAATGTTCACAAATAGCTCTGGAATTGAAACAAACACATCCTATCCTCACAACGCCACAGAGAAAAAATATACAGTAATGTCGCAGAGAAACTCACCAAAGTACACCAAACTGTGAACATTATCCCTACTATATCGCTTGAACACATTGCTCTTAATCTCCGCAAAGTTATTTGACACCAGCAGGGCAAGCAATGCATTGTTGTGAGCAACTATACAGGTTGATAAAGTGATTGCCTGAACTAATAAGATAAAAGAATGAATGAGTGCAAACAGTCAAGGAACCACGTCAGCCTTTGCTCCTTTTCTCTTATGCCTTCACACAAGAAAAATTAATACCCAAACTACTGGCAAAGAAAACTATTATTCCAAAAATAAAGGATATTTGAAGCAGCCACAGCTAAAGACTGATCAGCAATATATCTCCGTATCCAGAATCTCATACTTTCTGATGGACAAGTTGCAAGTCCTTCTGCTGAATGAAATAAGGTTTGCAATACATCCCCATTAAAACTTTGACATAGTTTATCAAATATCTGCAAGAACAATTGAGGATCAGTTATAGCAGTAGGCAAGCATCAAGAAGTTATACTTCTCCATCACCCAGTTTCTTCAGTCTATTCAGCTCACCTCTAACACATTGTAGACGACATATAATTTGATTGTTCCTTGACCACGGATCATATGATAAATTAAGCTGATATCTGAAGCAACAAAAGTGCAAGGGGGAACACAAATCAAAATCTGATAATTATAAAACAGCCAAAATCTGATAAAACTCTTACCAGTAGTAAAAATGAAAATATATAACATAGGGCATCGAACTATAGTTGTACCTGTTCGCTGCAAAAGAATGACTCCACAAGCCATAATTATAAAACAGCCAAAATCTGATAACTCAATTGCAGACAGATTCTTGAACTGCCTGCCAAAAGCATGATCAGGTCAAATTGTAAATTAAAAATCAAGACAAACTACCAATCTAATAGAACAGAATTCTAACATGGAAGAATCAGGAATGTATCCAGTAAAAATATTTATTAAAAAAAAAAAAAAAACCTATACCATTTGGAATTCTCATTGAATCAATTGCATACTTTGGGTTCTCAATCAAAATCACCTTGATTCCTCTCTCTTCAACTACGGCATATGAGCATTAGCAGGCATATACTAAATCTATACAGCTTATATCATAATTGCAAAACTTGGAAAGCATACACTGTAAGTTGAGCCCATCATAGGCATGGCTAACAACACTTAAGTACACAGAAATAGTATCAAGAAATGGTGGCAAACCTTGTTTTTAGAAGCCTCCAAATGGTCATCACTATCCTTGTTGGCATGATGGTTAAGAGTGACAGAAACGAATCAAAGCAGACGAAGAAACCAACATTTATAAGCTGCGAATGTATTCCATGTTTTAGATGCCATAATGTAGAATTCACATGTATTAATGAAGATATGTGACCACAGATTAACTACTGTCCAGTAAATGCCGAAGGTTTGGAGTTTCACATAACTTTCTTTCTTCACAATTTTTTAAATTTGATAATTATTGGGACAAATACAGGCACCTAAATACCAGGGTGAAAGTCCAAACTCCATAGATTACACCATAGCATTTCAAACAGATATTCCGCCTTTTTAAGGGTGAAAGCAAAAGCATACCAATTCACATCTCCATGGTAAGCGGAAGATAGTGTCATAAACTCTTTCTCGTTCTTTCTCATTACCGAGAGTTGTTGTGCTCCGTAGAGAATTTCCAGTGTACATTTCCTCCATGAAGCATTTTAGTGGTGATTTATCCGCTGAAAACATGTCTAGCATCAAAATGCATCAACACAAGGTTAGTTAATAAGAACGAAGAAATGGCATTAGTAAAATAAATTAATAAGACACCAACTTCATGGAGAGAAAGGCGGTTAACAGAGTGCTTACTATGATCAGAAACATTCAGACCATATACTAATTTTGAATTATTAAAAAAACAGCTAAAGCATGGCAAAGGATATAATTCTCATGGGAATTGCCCCACATCTCCCACTCTCATCCACTGATATGCAAGCATGGAGATCAATCACCATATGGAACCGTAAGAATAAATCAAGTCAGTGGATTACTATATTTTCTACGACATAGAGCTATTCTTATTTCCATGTCTGATAGCAAGGCTACAACACATCACTGTGGGCATGGGACAAAAATGCTTTCCTTTTCCCAACCTATATCTCTTGAAGCTGATGTACGATCGAGGCGTAACATAAAATGAGCTGCGGTAATTTCAAATGATTCAAGGTATAGATTATTAAAGATGAGGATCTGAATAGATGAGAACGGAGAAGTCGAAAGCTATTTAGATTCAGTAATGATGAATGGACAACATCTTACAGAAGATTTCGATGAATTGATAAAAAAAAATGTGACCTAGTAGAGAAGAAAGACAAACTTTTTAAACCAATATTATGAAACCTTCCCAGGATCGATCATATTGAAGACCGTAATACACATGCAACAGGGACACATTCACTCACTATTAGGATCTTCCGCCATAAGACGATTCCAATCCAATGATCTTGCCGAGTCTAACTGTGAAACGACATTCCGATGTGGCTCGCTCCTCTCCTTCTCCACCGAACTGGCCTTCGCGACACTATCGTCCTTCTCATCACCATCAACATTTGAAGACCCCAAGTCCTCACAATTACCACCATTGACAGTTCTGAGCCTTAATTCACCAAAATTAAACCCCTCACCAGCACGCACACCCTGGAACTCGGTCTCCGCCACTGGTGCCACTGTACAAACACTCGTTTTACTCTCGTCCGGTGCAATTATCTCCTCGCAGATAACAGTTCCAACCGCATGGTATCCCTGACTGTCGAGCTCAAACCCGTTTACGCAACAAGCTGCTCCATGATTGAATAATACTTCCCCGTTCGCCGATGACGAATGTAGATCTCTGGAGTCAGAGGAAACCGAATTAGATTTAACAGTTTCTCGCTCAGCGATCGGATCTTCGGGTATGCAGGGCTCAATAAGCTTCTTCTTCCTGGAGCTTTTGTGCTTGCGCTTCTTCCGGTTAGACTTATCGGGAGAAACCAAAGGGGCAGGCTGGGATTGTTCAGCCGTAACAACGTTGATTCGACTTGGACCCGATTTGGATCGATGGCGGTCAGAGTCATCTTCTTCATGGGAGCTACTGTCGCTGAGAATCTCGAAAGAGAGCTTTCTGCCGGAGGATCGCACCGCCATGACCAAGGAAACCTCAGCCCAAAACAATCAATCAAACAATACTTGAACTAAATAATCGAATTCGCATGGAAATTGAGATTGACATCAAAGAAGGAGGAAGAAGATGAATGATGCTTCGGAGATTCTAAATTGTGTGACACTCCTCTTCGCCATAATGCAGTCCAGCCGGACTCGTCTCATTCGCGCTTCGTGCCTCCCCTGTTCCACATGTACCCATTTACCCCTTCAGTCTTGCGTAAGACAAATTTTTTACATTTATTAGTTTTTCTTAAATTAACCTTATTAATACTACCTCCAATTCTAATTATAAGAGCCAGTCGATTAATTTGTAGAGATTAAAGAAGTTGAGTTAGTTATTTATCATAAATAAGTGTTGTCTTTTCTAAAATATCCTTACTAATCAAGTGTATTGACTAGAACTCTTACTATTAAAAGGGCTACTTTGAAAAAAAAATGTATAAATATGATAGACAAAGTGGATTGGAGTCTTATATTTAGGACCAAAATAAAAATTAAATAGGGTCTTATATTAAGGACCGGAGGTAGTACTCTTTTAAACATAATCAAGTAAAAATAAAAGAGAGAAGGAAGACATTAAGAAAGATGATTATAGTATTTTAGAGAAAATATATCATATTTCTTATAATTAACTAACTTACCTAACTTCATTAATCTAATCAAATTAGTTAAATAGATCTTATATTAAAGATCGGGAGAGTATTAATTAAATTAATCCAGGTAAATCTGCAATTTCTTCCTTTATATTCAGATTCATCATTCATCTGGTTTTGATTTTGAAAACTGGATAAAAGGTATAAAAGTTGTTTTATTGATTATTTTTGTAGTATTAAAAAATAATGTACAGTGGATTATTTATTTTAAAAACGATTCATACACTTTCAATTAATTAAATTAAAATTTTGGGTAGGAAAGTATTGTTGGAATTAGAAAAGAATATGCCCGCTTAAATTAATTTGCGGCACAAAAAAGGCCTATGTTGAATTCGTGGTCTGTATAATATTTTATAGGAAAATTCTCACAAATTGAACTGAAAATTATTGAATTTCAAATTAATGTGTGATTATTTATGAATCAAGGTTATTTTGGTGAGAATTTTATATACATATAGAGTCCTTCTCATTATATATAAACTCAATAAGTGGCCGTCGATAATACATGCATAAGAAAAAAATAAAGAATTCATCCTGACAAATATGATTTACTTGTCGGTGTCTGCATTTCCAAAATAATATGAATCGACCTCTGTAATTGTGAATGTTTGACGAGCTAATCCCTATTCCCATTGAAACTTGAAACCATGAAAAAAAAAAAAAGGACCAGACCGGCCAGTTCAATCGGTGAGCTGGCCTGATATCCGGCATGAGTTAAGGTGAAAACCAGCCAGCTTTTGAGCCGGTGTTAAACCGGTTGAGCCGGTAAGAACTGGTATTAAACCGGGTAACCAGCTAGTTTGGGGGGTTACCTGGTTTACTAATTATCTCCCCTCCCAGAGCCAAAACGATAGCATTTTTATTATAAAAAAAATCGAATCCAAGTCCGAAATTCAAACTCGCTCTCACCTTTTGCCTCACTGGAGAAGCCATGGACGCTGCTAAATGAAGAGGTAGAAGCACAGGAAGTCATAGAAAAGAAAACCCAGAACTTTGTTTAGATCTGTGTGTCACTTGGAAGCACCATTCTGCTCATGGAATACTGGAACGCAAGAAGGAAGATGACAGAGTAGGATGCATGATATGCAGAGAGAACAAAAATGGCAGACTGTGGTCTCAATTCTATTTGAGAAAGAAAGAGAAATTAGAGGAATGAAGCGATTCAATTGAGAAAGAGAAATACGTGTTTCAAGAAGAAAAGTTAAGTCACTCCATCGTTCAAAGGAAGACAGCGAAAGAAAAAACTGACAATTCATGTTATAGTGGGGGAAAATGAGTAATAACGTGGGAGAGAGAAGAATGAGATTAAAAAAAAAAAAATGATTTCATCACGCGAGGAAGAAGAAGGGAATAGGGAAAGAAAAAAAGAAAAAGAAATAAAAAAAATTCATATATGTGAATATTATTTTTTATAACTAAAATATGAACATTTTTACTTATTTGAATAAATTGAATTAATACCAGTTTGATCATGGTTTAATCCTGATTTGACCTATTAACCTTCAAAAATACTGGTTTACTGACCGTTTTGGTTTTTTTTTTTTTTTTACCTTGCTTGAAACTTAAATAACCCAAGGCTCATGAGTCCACATGGACTGCGATGACGAGAAATTGGTGAGGTGGCGTTGAGTCAACCATTAATAATTTAATAAAACGGCTCACGAGCATCGCACCGTCCCTCAGTTTGTTAACTCCCCTGGGCATGATCAGTTTGATTGTTAAACAAGTCAAATTTTAAAGACTGAATCAGGACAGGTTAAACTTTACATATTGAGTGATACTCCTCTATTTTTATTTGTACGGCGAGAAGAAATTTTTTAATTCTAATTATAATGCAGAAAAAAATTATAATTTTACCTTTATTTATCATTATACTTACTTTGTTTTCATAATATTAAATAAGAATAAAATTAAAAAATTGTTGAATTTTAAATAAGAGTTGATAAATTTTAATAATTTTTTATCTGTATGAAATATGTTGAAAGTGATTTATAAATAGAACTAGAGTACTTGAGTTAAAATTTAGAAATTAAATTATTTTTCCTACTAAATAATTAAGTACTACCTCCGGTCCTAATTATAAGACCCAGTTGATTTATTTGAGAAGATTAGGGAAGTAAGTTAAGTTAGTTACTTGTAATAAATAAGTGTTGTCATTCCTAAAATATCCTTGCTAATTAAGTGTATTGGCTAGAACTATCATTATTAGAAGGATTATTTTGGAAAAAAATGTATAAATATAAGAGACAAAATGGATTGGGACCTTATAATTAGGACCAAACAAAAAATCAAACGGAGTCTTATAATAAGGACCGGAGGTAGTATTTCAAGTGTTGAGTCAAAAATATAGCATTATACCCACATTTATAAAGTTAACATATTGGGCTTCCTTAACAAAAAAAAACGCTATTGGGCTAATTTATGGTTCCCATGTCTAATCACCTTGACCACATTATTTGCAAAACTAGTTGCTGTATACTTTAGGCTGACGAGGGAGGAGAAGACTTATCCGGTTGCTAACATTTAGACCGTTCAACAAGGATCAAACAATTTCCTGGCAAATAATAATAATAAGGATCAAACGATTTAAACTTCGATTATATTCATCTTAAAATTTGGGTTTTTTCCCCCTTTCTTCCTCTTTTTTATGTAAATATTTTGAATCTTTATCATTTTTTTCACTTTGATTTTGAATCGCCCTTCCTTTTGAATCTTCCATTTGCAAATGTACCTGGAGGAAGATGTTAATACCAATTGGAAGGATAAGGTGGTGCAGGATTAAAGAATTAATAATAACCATTGCAAATGAATTAAAATGAAAAATGCGGGAAGAATATGATGAAAAATGAGAAAATGGATTAAATTGCTTTCCCATATATACATATATAGAGAGAGATCCATCAAGGAAATTGTTGAACAATCCTATAAAATGAAAACATAATTGAACTAGAAAAAAAAATCCAAATGAAATCCATCACGTGGTTATGCGAATAGAAATTTGAACGATTGTATATTTTTCTAATAAATAATGCTATAATTAATATTAATGTGCTCTGTAATTGTTTGTAAGCGATTTAATTTATTTAAGAAAAATGAGATGAAATGAAATTAATTTTGACACACAAAATAACAGTTCTCGTCGTCGTCATCTAGATATAGAATATCAGTATCTTTTTTAATGAAAATTTAAACATTAATTCATTACATTATGAATGACTAACTTCTTCTGTTACACTCACGTTGTGTTGGTTGGTTTGGTTGGTTAATCATAATTATCACAAAGGGAATACATGCCACTAATATAGGCCTTTTGTTTTGGATTAATAAAAAAGAAACAGAATGAATATGCATGGAGAATATTATTGCTAGCTTACCCTCCACGGGAAAATACTGATTTGTTTTTTCACAGGTTTGTATGTTAAGTACAACTTCTAGACCCTCTTCCATTGAATGCTTGCTTTGTGAATTACTACCTCCAGTCCTAATTAGAAGAGCTAATTGACTAATTTGAAGAGATTAAGGAAATAAGTTAAATTAGTTATTTGTAATAAATAGGTATTGTCTTTTCTAAAATATCATTGCTAATCAAGTTTATTGGTTAGAACTACCATTATTAGAGGGACTACCTTGAAAAAAATACATAAATATGAGAAACAAAATGGATTGAGGTTTTATAATTAGAACCAAAATAAAAGTCAAACGAGTTCCTATATTAAGAACCAGAGGTATTATTTCTCTTGCCAGTGCCAACTAAGCTTTAGTTTCTCTCCATGTGCACTTTCATGCAGCCTACAATACCTGACAACAACAAAAAACCTGTGGAACCCTTTTGTTATGAATTTGAATATTGTCTGCGGAAAAAACTATAATTGGAGAGATTTAATTTTCTCCATCAATAATACGGGCTAAACAGATTTGCCAAACAAGCACAAACAGTAATTCTTCCATTTATTTTTATAAGATTAAAATTAATTCTCAGGAATGACATATTTATCGTTACACATATCAACCAACAAAATATCATTCAAGCAAACAATCAGGCCAGTGCTTTACGACCATAATAAGCATATTGAGTTAATCAATCAATAAAATCATGGTTATATTTTATTTTTTTTATTTTTTTGGGTTATTGATCCTGAAAAGACATCGTTTTGAGTTAAAATAAATAATTTGTTGTCTATATACTTGTGAATTTATTTAAATATTATTTTAATTATGACTAGTCTAATCCACCCTGTTTTTTTTTAACCGAAACTCCCGATTTGAATTATTAACCTGTGAATTAATGTGTTGACTGATTTATAGACCGATCCAGTTTTATTGAGCATCAAAATAATGATGTTGAAATTGGAGTAGGACCATAGAATGAAGCATGGGTAAAAAGCAATGAGATTCATTGGGGAAGCGTGAGGCCCGAATCTCATATAGTGGGCAACTAATAAAGAATATAAACACTGGCATTGTCAA